TAAATATAAACACTCCTGCTTCCCTTTATTTTCTAGTTTCCTTGAATTTTCTAATATTATTATTTCCCATATTTGGTAGGGCATCCAACTACAGCAGGCAATGCAAGAATGTTTTGACGAGAAGGATGTGCCTCAGCAGTATATGAGGAAATTTTGGGCAGTAATGTAAGCTGTTAATTTCCAAAAAAAAAAACTCTTTAATACTGTTACATGTTCGTTATGGTACTTTTATACTTGCTGAAGAATACATGGCGTTTGAAGCATGTTGTTTAAAAATTTATGAGTATTTTTGTATTTTTATGTTTCTTTCAGCTAGGAGTGATTTGATACTGTCATAATAATGACGTGGGTTTGTTAGAAGAATTTAATGTTATGTATTTTTTTCTCTGATTTTGCATATTCATAAGTATCTGAGTTTGAAAAGTTTATGATGTTAAAGAGAAGTTTAAAGATGTTAAATAGAAGTTTAAAGGTATTTTTACACTTTAAAAACAAAATTAAGTATATTAATGTCTTTTCCAAAACGTTTTCATTGACATCAAACATAGTTGTCTTCACTAAAATATACCTATATTAGGGGAGAAGCGATCAAATTCCTCTTTTTCTCTTGTTTTGGCTTTTTTTTTCCTAAAACATTAATATCTCTTGTCCTTAGTATAAGACCTAATTAACTAATTTAGAAACATTAAAAAAATTATTAAGTCAATTTAAAGTATTATATTTATTATTTCTTCTCAAACTAATTTTCCTCACTTATAAATTAACATATAATATAATGATATACATAACTATTTTAAAAAGATCATATAACATATACTTTAATTAAATAATTTTAATATTTTTTTAAATTAATCAACTAGGTTTTATATTAAATATTTGAGATAATATTATCATATATCTGGGTTTGGGCTACCAAAGCCTATTTTTCTAGTAATATTTTGTACATAAAACTAAAAGCATCTAATGGGATAAAACTAAAAGCATCTAAGGGTGTGTTTGGATTAGCGGTGAATAAGTAATTTTTTTTTCAATCTGACTTTTGCAAAAGTAGATTGAGTAAAAGTCAGATAGGGTGATGTGATTTATGTTTGGATTGGGTTTTCAGAAAAGTCAGTTTGAAAGGTTAAAACTTGTTTGGATGATAAAAGTAAAAATAAGTTTGCATGTAAAATGACTTAAAAGGACATAAATTTTATTAAATAATATATATCTCATATTAATTTGACTATTTTTTAAGAATTAAGGAAGAGAAAATTATTAAAAATAAAGAAATTTAATTTATTATTAGAAAGAAATTATATATATAATGTAATGGTAAATATATAAATTAGAAATCATACAAACATAGTATTTTTACACACGATACATCAAATAATTAATTAGATGCCATACATCAAATAACTAAAAAGCAACACGGACTTGCAGTCGTGAGCGAGGCTTCAGATCGTGTGTTGTGTAAAGCTGAACTCTCTTTAATATTGAGCTGAGAGAAAATAAACATGCAGCAGGTTGGTATTATATCAACTAGACTATCGCTGTTCATATTCTAATTTTTCAAGCGAGCAGAACGCAAGTGAGGAGCAGGAGGCCAACTGAATATGGAGCTGAGAGAATTTGCAATATTTTTTTTTCCATTTTTCTGATATTTTCAAACTTAATTACTCAATAAATTTCACTTCTTTATATTAATTAATTTAAATTTATTGTATTATGTCAATTCATTTTTTATATTTAAAATATTTTTTATGATTTCATTAAAATTTTAAAATTTAATTCACTTATTAAATTTGACTTCTTCATAATAAATTATTGTATTATGTTAAATCATTTTTATCATGTTCCATTATTTATTAAAATTCATACCCATTTTGGTCACTTTACAACCAAACTTACTTTTACTCAACTATAATCCAATCAAGTTTTCACTAATTTCACTTTTGCAAACTAGTTTTTCTGAACTCTAATCCAAACACAATTTAGCTTATCCAATTTAGCTTTTACCAACTTCACTTCTCCATAAACTACTTTTTCAATAAGCTACTTTTCCAATCGTTGATCCAAATGGACCCTAAATTCCCTATCAGGACGGTCCACAAACTCTTCCATGTGTTCAGAAGCTCCCTCTCCCCAGCTTATCTCAATTGTGGGTTAAAGTGGCTTAAAAATTCATAAGCCCAATTGTTAAAAAGCTCTGCCAAACATACTAAAATTTCCACTGAACTTATAATCACTTATAAGTCACATTTGGGCCAGCAAACGCTGACCCAAACAGGCACTTAGGATCCGTTTGGATGAGCGATTAGAAAAACAGCTTATTAAAAAAGTAGCTTATGAAAAAGTGAAGTTGATAAAAGCTAAATTGGATAAGTTGAATTGTGTTTGGATTGGGATTCAGAAAAGCTGGTTTGCAGAAGCGAGATTAATAAAAAGTTGTTTCGATTATAGTTGAGTAAAAGTAAATTTGGTTATAAAATGATCAAAATGGGTATGAGTGTTAATAAATAATGAAATATGATAAAAAAATGATTTGACATAATACAATGAAATTAACATAATTTATTATGAAGAAGTCAAATTAATAAGTGAATTGAATTTTAAAATTTAAAAAAATCATAAATATTTTTAATATAAAGTGAAACATGAAAAAAAAAATGAATTGACATAATAATGAATTATTGTTAATTTAATATCAAGAAGTGAAATTGATCAAAGGAATTAAATTTGAAAACATAAGAGAAATGGGAAAAAAAATATTGCAAATATAAAACGAAACATAATTTGAATGGGTAAACATGTTTTTAACTCCAATTTACAGTATTGCAACAAAATGAAACTAAATAATATTACATAATTAATTAATAGATAAAAAGATGCATTTATCTATTACCAGAATGCTTAAGCAAAATTAATCAAATACGAAACATTACACCAATGTCGTTAAAAGCTACCACGAATTAGTTCTATTCTACGATTGAGGGGGCTTCAAGGGGCGGCAAGGTATAAAAAGTAATAATTTTTGGATATGCTTGGATCTAAAAATCACTTCCGTCAAATTTGAATCAACATTCCACACTCCACAACAAAACCTTGTCGAGGCCAGCACAAACGGAGCAAGCGTGGGGGCTCGGGTTTAAAAAAATAAAAGTGAGCCTCACTCACAGGGAAATAAAAAAGGCAGATGAAAGAGAAAAGTAAAGGAATAAGTGTCTGTTTGGTCAGTGTTTGCTGGCCCAAACGCGACTTATAATTGAAAATAAACTCAGTGGGGGTAAATAGGATGTTTGGTTCAGTGTTTAACCAATCTCACTTATAGTTAAAAGCTGTGATTTTAAAGTCCGATTGAATAAGTAGGATGGTTTTGCTTTTAGTTTATGAAATCGGGCTGTTAAGGGACTTTTGGGGCACTGATCACCGTGCTGGGAATAGGTTCAGTCCCGACGCAGGCGGCTTAGGTTGAGGGTACAATCGTACATTTGTATATAAGAATCAAGGAATAATTTAAAAAAAACATATCAGGCTGAACTTATTCACGGTCTGAACTCACAAGTTTCAAGTAGGGTAGCGTATGGTTATTGTTTTCCATCATGTAGCATTTGGATTGTTCATTTTATTTAGAAAAAACTGAAAATAAATTTCTCATTAAAAATTTATTTGGTAAATAGGACATAGAATGATTGATTATATAAAAAAAAAAAAGTTACACACAAAAAAAAAAGTTACATAAAAAAGGGTAGTTTGTACAAAATATTATTAGATATAAAGAATTAGTTTACACACAGAGAAGATAACTTGCACATAAAAAATTTTTTATTTGCACAAAGTAAAATTGTGTTGTACATTGCACAAAAGAAGATCATTACATACAAAGGAAGATAAATTGCACACGAAAAAAGTTAAATTGCACATAATAGAAGTTAAGCTACATAGAATCTTTAGGTCTTGCTAATTAAATTTTTAATAAGAGATTTATCTCTAATTTTTCTTTTTATTTATAATATTTTGATAAAAATGTCTCATTGCTTCCCTTGACAAATATGTACTTTTCAAAAAATATATTTTGAAAAGATTGGCTGGCTTCCTCAGAAAATCAATGGCTACAGCTACAGTGTACAGAATTATTTTTTCCCCCAACAGTGTACGGCATTTCATAGGAGCTTTGTTAATGTCAATGGCCCCTTTTTGTCCAATGGTCGTACCGTATGAAAATGACTCTAATTTTTCTTTTTCTATCTTTTTTCTTGAACTAGTAACTCATAATAATGCAACGAAAGTGTTTTTTTTTCTTTTGGGATTTTTCAGTATTCTTTACAGAAAAAACTGGTCGCTTGACACAGCATCATGATAACTACTTTTAATTGTTGAGCAAGCATGAAATTTCATAACTAGCATCATACAAATAGTTGGGTTTGGCAACAGTAATTAATTTCACCAGCCTGATTAACCATAAAAATAACACATCCGAGAAGTTCATAACAATACAAAAGTATCAGGCAAAACAAACAAAAATAGTACAAAAGCATACTGAAATAGATGTCACCCACCAAAAAGAGAAAGAAACGAAGACCGATGAAACACAGAAACAAATGCAAGCTAACAAGTCTCACTTTCCATTACAATGTCTTGAGAAATTCCTTGCTTTTTCATGTCGTCTTTTTCGAGAAAAACACTCGTCAAAACATTCTTGCACTGCAGGGATTGGAGAAGCCTTCAGCAATTTAATACCCTATCAAATGAAGGAAAAACTTTTAGAGCATACAAACATTATACATATAGTTGGGTTCGGCAACAGTACGTAATTAATTTCACCAACCTGATTAACCATAAAAATAACACATCCCATAAGTTCATAACAGTACAACAGTGTCCGGCAAAACAAACAAAAATAGTACAAAAGTAGACTGAAACAGATGTCACTAGTCAAAAAGGGAGGTAAAAGAAAAAGTCTCGCTTTCCATTGCAATATCTTGAGAAATTTCTTGCTCCTTTATGTTGTCTTTCTCGAGAAAAACACTCGTCAAAACATTCTTGCACTGCAGGGAAGCCTTCAGCAATTTAATACCCTATCAAATGAAGGAAAAACTTTTAGAGCATACAAACATCATAAAGGGGGAAGCTAGCATCAAAAAAGTAAGCAAGAATATCAAAACCAACTGAATAATAATTAAGAGTAAATAAAACACATATTGTATCATCTTTAATCCAACCATATTCAAAGGAAAATTTGATTAAACATACATGCAATCCATATTTATAAAAATATAACTTTACAAAAAATTCGACTTGATTCTCACAGGGGGAAAGCGTTATGTTATGCTTTTAGCATACTAACCCAAACTATAATATATTTGGAAAACACAGAAAATGAAAACAAAAGTCTCAGAGATGAAGTCCCTGCATATATTAATTTACCTCTTCCATTCGCAACTCAACGACCCTTTCTTGTAAGGAAGAAATGTCCTTGACTTTGAACTTGGAGATCAAAGTGATGGTTGAAATGGTAGACATGGGACGAACTTCAAGATCATCCATCACAGTGTAGGTGACCACTCCTTTCACGAAGCCTTTCGCACTTGAATCTTCTGTTGCCTTTTTATCATCACCTACTAATTGTACAGCATAGCCCATGCTTCCTCGACAATATGGACACGCCCTGTTCCGAACACGAGTCACACCATAATTGCAACGGCCCCCACACATGTAAAGATTTGGAGTTCCCGAGGAATTGGTATCATGACGATCATCATCATTTGCAGTAGGTAGAAGGTAGCCAGAAGCCAATGGAGAACTTGGCTTCAGCAAAGTGTTCCTGTCTTGTTCAGGTTTGTTGAGATAAACGTCGCCCAGATTCTCTTTGCTTTCGTAGAGTTTGCCCAAGGAGCCAACCATGGCGTTTTTGGTTAGCAGCCTGGTCACCGTGCCGATGGGTAAGCGAAGCAAGTTGAATAGAAAGTCGATGAACTCTTTTGAAGCTTCGGCAAAGAGAACTCTTTCTTCTTTCGTGTCGATCAACAACTTCAAGCTCACTTTCGATGATGACGAGGATGCCATCTTTCACTGTTTGGGATCCGGATCCTCTCAGAAGCAATTTTCTCAGCGTCCCTCAGCGTCTTAAAATCCAGTCCATTTAAATGATCTAAAAGTTCATATTGTGCCAAGTCATCAAGCTTTAAAATTGAATGTCTTCTCAGTATGTTTGGTCCCACAAATACGAGCAGCGCGTCTTCAGCCTTGGACTTCTCTTTCTCTTCCCGTCTTCGGACCCCCACACGCCCGTTGGTAAATAGCCATCTTGTTCATCTCACACCTTCCATGGCTGTTCTTTCTCAACCTCACATCTATTTCTCACTACTTATCCTCCTCCGCTTTAATTCCCTGCAACACAGGGCATTCGCCAATCCTCTCTTTAGCGACATTTCGAGAGCCACCGCAAGTAAAGCCTCGTTCTGAATTGGAGGGCTGTGGGTCAAGTCTTTAGGCCTGTTTGGGTGCTCTGAAACCGTGGTTTCAGAAGCACTTTTCCGCAAAACGAGGTAACTTCCTCCACATATTTACTTCGTAATTCGTAAAAGCACTTCTGAAACCATGGTTTGGTTTCTATCCAAACACTCCCTTTGTCGCTAACTCACTGAACAGCATAGAAACTTGAGGGATCACCAATATGTAGAAACACTGCATGTGTATGGTTCTCTTTCACTAGGCGAATCTGATCCTCAACAAAAGTCCTGTTTTTTTTTTTCCATCACCGAAAAAAAAAGTTCTGTTTTTAATACAAGAACCCAAAAGCAAGTAATGAGGAGGGAGAAGCCGAAAGTTAGGGGGTCAGAAGAGGGGAGAGAAACCGAGAAACTGACGGTTGAAGAATGAAGACGCATTGCTGGAGTTCGTGGGACTGGACAGCTTGATGACTTGTGGCAATGTAAGCTTTTCGATCATTTAAACGGACTAGATTTTAGAATTCTGAGGGACGCTGAGAAAATTGGCTTCTGAGAGGATCTGGTTCCGTGGAGGCATATATATAGTCATGTACTTTATCCTAGGATTAAAAGTCATTCTTTTTTCGGCCTGAATTAAAAGCCATTCTTGCTCCCGAAGTTTTCGTAAAAGAGCCGTGGCATCAGAAAAAGTTTTTGAGAGCAATTTCACCAATTGCAAATTATAAGATTTAGCATTTTAAATGTTTTAGTTTCTTTTTTCAACATACATTATTAAATTTTAAAAAATTATAAAAAAATTAAAAAGTACACTAATTTTTATAAATAAGATATTAAAATGTCACATTTTATGTTGAATATAATGAAAAGCATTCCAAAATTAAAAGGCAGCTGGGGAAAAACACCCAAGAGGCCGCAGTTTTGAGGACGGTGGAAAAAGAAAAGAACAGTGAAGGAAGAGATTGGGGGCACGTTTCTCATGGCCTTTTGATTAAGGCGGGTATTGCTTTTGATTGGTTTGCCCATTCATATGACGGGGCACTTTAATGCTTTGCTTCCTTGGATGCGAAGCAAAGTGAGAAGGAAGGAAAACGGGAAGAGGGGAAATAGAGAGGGAAAAAAAATCGGAGGGGCTTGGATAGAGAGGAGAAAATAGCGGGAAAAGAACAAATATTTAAATGAATAAAATATTCTTATCAAAATATATATATTTAAAATCAAATCAAATATTGTAATAAGAAAATTATACTAACATTAGTATCATCAGATAATTTAAAATTAAGTTATTTGGTTTATACATATTTTTATATTATTATATTTTAAAACCAAATTATTTAATAAAAATATTATTATAGGATAAAAAAAAAGTGAATAACTTGTCAAATTTTTAAAATAATGAAAAAATAAATATGGAGAGGAAGAAGTCAAAAACTTTCCAAATCTCTTCATATATGGGGAAAAAATTCAGAGAGAAAATGAGACATCAAGCCATTTATTATTTCTTTCAATTTTTCTTTCTCTCCTGTTTTATCTCATATCTCAACAAAGAAACTCTCGCACTTTCTCTCCACTTAATTTTTGCATCATTGGATTAATTTTCAATGGTTGAGATTTAAAAATGAGGAAAAATATTAATATAATATTAAATATAACGAAAATGTATCATACTAAACTGCTTATATCAAATTTTAACACTTAACAGTATAAATTTATTTATATATTTTTTATTATTTAATATTTAATATATTAATAATATCTGGAGAGAATAAATCTTGGAATTGAAGTTTGATCTAATATTTAATATTTTAATACTTTTGGGCTTGCATTGTTTTCAAAAAAAAAAAAATCGGATACCCATAGCTTTCGTGTGGAAACTTTCGAAACAAAAATGGGCATTCTCCCTTTATCTTAAAATGAAAATGGAGAAAATAATGATATTAATTAAAAGATAGGTTAAGATGCATCCAACATCTAAAATATTTTATAGTGTATTTAGTATTTTTTAAGTGAGTTTAACACTTTAAAGTATTTTTTGATACATCATGTACTCTAAAATGTTTTTTTGGATGTGTTTAACATCCTAAAATATTGTTTGGTATATCTAGTACCAAGATAAATAAAAAAAATTATTTCAAGATGACAGACTCATTTAAAAAATATTTCAAGACGATAAATGCATATGAAAAATATTTTATGGTATCAATGCAATATAAAATATTTTAAGACATTAAATGTTCTTGAATGCACTTAAAAAGGTAAGTCTTTAAGAGAAAAAACAATTTACCATGTGAATAGTTGTAACCTTACCCATTGAATGCGTCATAACATTGAAGAATTTGGTAATCAAAAGTCTCGTTTGAGTGATCTTAGTACAAATCAATGAATCAGTTCATGCGTCCATATTTTTCATTCGAAGAGTTGAATAATCTGAGCTTCAATTATATCCTATTCTTTTTCGAATTCGATGCACTCAAATTTTAAGAAAACATAAATTACTATCTAGTATTTTTTTTATTAAAAAAAAAACCTACCATTCACTCCTGTCTATATATCTTTTTGAGGAATTAAACAAATAAATTTGGTTCAGCCCATCAGTATACTCAAATCCCCAGACAATACAATGAATCAAATTCAAACATGCCATCACGTACTACTTCTATCCTTAATATAAGACTTTTTTTAACTAATTTGATTAAATTAAGAAAGTTAGGTAAGTTAGTTAATTATAAAAAATATAACATGCTTTTTCTAAAATATCATAATCATCTTTCTTAATATCCTCCCATGCTTTTTTAACTAATTGTACTTTATTATGGTTGAGAGAAGAATATCTATAAGGATAATTTAAAAAATTAATAAATATAAGAAATAGATATATATTTGGAATCACAATTAACTTAACAATTAGGTCCTATATTAAGGACTGAATGGAAGAGTACTATTAATTATTACTCCAATCTTAAATATAAAACCTATTTTATAATGTACAAAGATCTATTATATAGTATAAATTACATTATAAAATGAATTTTATATTTAGAACTAAAAGAATAAATTGTTTCTTTACCATCCATTTAACTCTTACGATCGACTTTATATATTTAAAAGAAAATTCACTCTATATATAATAGCTTTACCTACACTCTCTATACAACCTCTAGTCCTTCATATAAGAGCTGATTAACTAATTTGAGTAGATTAAAAAAATATATTTAATTCATTATTTATAATAAATAAATATTATCTTTTCAAAAATATCCTTGCTAATAATACATATTAGCCAAAACTACAAATTGAAGAAACATTTAACATATGTAACTACAAGGGTTATCTTAAAAAAAATAAGTATGAGAGATAAGTGGATTAGGATTTTATATTTATGATCAAATAAAAATCAAACTAGTTATATTACCTCCGGTCCTTAATATAAGAACTAGGTTGACTTTTAATTTGATTCTAAATATAACACATCGATTCATTCCCCTTTCACATTTATCTTTTTTTTCCCCCCTAATGTAGTCTTTGTGGTAGTCACTCATATTAAATGTTACGTTTATCAAATGGTAGTTTTAATTAATATACTTGATTAGTAAAAATATTTTAAAAAAAATAATACGTATTTATTATAAATAACTAAATTATACTAATTCTGATTTTTTTTATACAATACTAATTCTAATATCACTAAAACTTATGAGGTTCACCTGCGCATTGGATCAGTCATGAGGCTCCTAAGCAAGAATTGGCAGGTTGCATATTTATAGCTGAGCTTTATGAAAGCATAGGGAACATCAGTGATGTGCTTGCTGAATTCAAAGCAAGACAAGGACACTTTGCTAAACCCTAGAAATCCACCATCAAACTGTGGATATTTCTTTCTCCAAATGTTGCCCCGAGTAGTTCGGATCCGGGTCATCAAACCTGTACGCGCGCGCGTCTTCGCTTGTCTGCTTTGAGAAACTTACTACTCCCTCCATTCCTCACCGTAATACACGAATAATCGAATTACGTTGATAAAAAAAATTAAAATTAGTTAAGAACAATTAATATGTGAAAAGTATATATTTTTTTTAAAAATACCTTCATTAATAAGGAGAGAGAAGCATGAGAGAGATCAAT